ATCATTACTCCAGTCTTCAGTGTCACATGATCCTTCACAAATCATTTTAATATGCTGATTTATTATCCATGTTGGAAGCAGTTGTGCTGCTTAATATTTTTTTGGAGCCTGTGATACTTTTTTCAGGATTCTTTGATGGATAAAGTTAAAAAGAACAGCATTTATTTAAAATAGAAATGTTTTCTAACAAATTAAGTCTTTATTATCACTTTTTATCAATTTAACACATCCTTGCTGAATAAAAGCAGTCATTACTTTAAAAAAATATATACTGACCTCAAACTTTTGAATGGTATATTGTTAGAAAAGATTTCTATTTTGAATAAATGCTGTTCTTTTTACATTTTTATTCATCAAAGAATCCTGAGAAAAATATCACCGGTTCCAAAAAAATAAGGATCATGTGACACTGAAGACTGGAGTAATGATGCTGAAAATTCAGCTTTGCATCACAGGAATAAATTACATTTTAAAGTATATTAAAATAGAAAACCATTCTTTTAAATTGCAATAATATTTCACAATATTACTTGTTTTTTTCTGTATTTCTGATCAAATAAATGCAGCCATGATGAGCAGAAGAGACTTCTTTAAAAAAACATTACAAATCTTACTGATCCCAAACTTTTGAACGGCAGTGTATGTATATAGACACTGTTGTTAATTGTAAGTAGATTAATTACTTAAACTAGTGAGAGTGTACATTTATTTTCTAAACTGTTGGGGCAAATATCAAGTGGCGTTTCTTTTAAAGAAGGATAGGACAAGACAAGAAGTAGTTTGAAGTAACTTTCTTACATTTTCTTTAACCCCTTTCAGTTCAGTCACGGTCACTGCACAACCTTCAGCCTTCCCGCGTGCTGTGCGCCCTCGAGCACCCGTTCTCCGTGTCAGAGGACTCCAAAATGCTCCCGCGCTTCTCGGAGGATAAAAGAATGGCGGAGATCGCGTCGCTGCTGGGAAGACTTCACAGGAGACCAGACTTCGCCAATTACGACCCTGAATCTCACAACCACAGCTTAGACCTGCATGACGACCATCACCGTGGAGACCCCATCACTGGGCATGTAGCGACAGTGACCTTGAATCCACGACGTGGCTCAAGGCGGAGTCCTCATGCTGATGATATGTGAAGGGCAGAAGGGGGTTTACCCGCGGATTTGTCAAAACTCCTTTAACAGCGCTTTTGAAGGTGGGAGGCAGCTAACAGATTGTTGGAAGCTCTTTTTTTTCTCCTTCTTTCTGCTTAAGTAATTTTTAAGAGATTGCATAGTATATAGCTGCTTATTTATATTATCAAACTTTGGATGAAATAACAAGTCCAATTTTTTCTGTTGATTTGGAATGCTGGAAGTGGTTTTTCTCTCGTTTTAAGCTTGCCAGAAGCAGGTTTCGTTTTCGTAAAAATGCAGTGGGGTCCAAACGAAAATGCGTGTTTTTTAAACACAGCATAATTATTTTTGCAAGAATAACTGGCTTACTAACTGTATTTTGCTTGTTACAAGGCTACACCCTAAATAAATATGTGGACATGAAATATTGATATGGAATTATTTTACAATCCTACCTGTAAATTATCTTCAGGTGTCCGCTATGAAAAAAATAGTCCACTACAACGTACAAAACAATCGGACTAGCATCGAGACGAATGCTGAAACAATATTAATGTGATATTAATACTGCTCTGTCTCTGAGGTAAGTTTCAGTAGGCTACAATCGAATTGAGACGCACAATGGCGACAGTTGTGTTTGTATAAAACAAAAGAGCGCGAGAGAAAGTAGCGCCGGTTTTATTTGCGCAATCGCTGGATGACGCGATTGACCAATTAGAATCAAGTATTCAGAGCGTCGTGTAATAAAATGTACAAAAAACAAACAAAACAATTTGAGTGAAAAGTTGAAATAAAAAAATTTAATATGAATTTCAAAGATCAATGAAAGCAATGAAATCTGACAGTTTGTACAAATTAATTAACATGGTCAATTTTAAAATGTTAAATTTCATATGTATTTTACTTTTTTCAGATTAAAGGTTATTAAATAATAATTTAAAAAAAAATCCCAGATGCATCATCAGACTTTTGGACTCTGTATATATTATGGCTGTGATCACTAGATGTTTGAACCATCTGCTCTGCCAATGTAGCCTATTACTTGCACTACAGCTGAGGTGAATAATAATACAAATCAGCTCATTCCAAGTCATGAATTTTACATTTTGAATCCTTCAGCAAGTTTGTCCTGTGTTTGTCTTCTCTTTGAAGACAGTTTGGCTTTATGGGTATTAATCTGAAGGCTGAAGTAATTTTTTATGGACTAAGAACTAGTTAGTGTGCATAAATTGCTTTTGATAACAAATGTGCTTTTTCAATAAAACACTGTGTTGAATTGCCTTTCAACCTATTTTATGGGGTTGCTTTGTTGTTGCTTTTTCCAATAAATGTTTTAAAATGTGTCTTATGAAATGGACAACTCTCTGTCTTCAACTCTGGGTCCACGTCAACACATAAATGCCTTTCAGCACAATTTGGACTTCATGAGAGACAGAATGAGGCCAATGCAGATGAGAAGAACAAGTGGACAACCTATCTCAGTAAAAACAAATACGTGCATTCTTGACAAATACACTTAATGCGACTCGACCCATTATCAATGTAAAGACACTTTTTGCTAGAATCTATAAGAGAAGCACAAATGATTAGATATGAAAGCAGTAGTTTGTGTAGATTTCTATCATATATGAATGAATAAAAACGTAAATGTCAACTTCATTTTTTCTTTGACACTTCAGGGACTGTGTAAAGTGAATAACCTTCAGGGATCAGGAATGGGAAAACAGTGTAGGAGGTAGTCACTTTCAGATAAGAAAAATTGGAAAAAAAATAAAAAAGATGTATAGATAATGCATAATCTTCTCTTGTGCTCAGCAATAATATTCAAATGTAATTGAGTGAACAGGTTCAGCAGGTTTTTCCATCTTACTCAGTGCCTCTTTAATCATACGGATAAACTTGCATCTTTCATCCACAGGACTGTGGTCTGTCTCTTTGCTTTGACGTGTCTCCCTTGGGCCCCTGGCCTCCAGGTCTGCAAGTCTATTGCACCTGTCAGAGAGCTGCATTTTTACTTGATTAATCTGGTGCTGATTTGATACACAAAGTTTGCACAAATACATTTCAGTCTCTCTGCTCCTCAAGGCAAAAACTGTGCAATTCTTGGCTCAGTAATCTTCTAAATTAACCCAACCACTAAGACGAAAGGCTCCATAGTTGGAAATCAATAAGTTATCACTTTCATTGTGTGGATTTCTGAGTTATTTTCAAGATTTGTGGGCTGTAATTAAAAGTCTGTGAACGTGAAAAAAGCCTATGTGTGACCAAGTTATCATGGATGGAAAGAGAAAGTCTGAAATAAATTGGAATAATTGAATTGCAGTGAACTAAATTGGAGGTGGACTCAGCACACATAGAGAGAGAGTGAGAAAGATGAAGTGTGTGTATGAGAAAGAAAGAGTAATATATTGTAATAGATTTTGTTTTAAAATACAACATGCCAAGATTAGATTACATAATTTTTGTATATAACTTTCTAAAAACATGATCTCCGTATGATAGATGACATTTTTTATAAAATACATAAATATTAAATAAATGTATAAATTTGCGCTAGCTAAGTTTAGAGAAGCCATAAAATAGAATACTATATTTAATTATATAGTAAGTGTATATCAAACGCAAGAAATTCGGCCAGGGGATCCTTGACTATAGCCTACTCCTCAGGTCTGCGTCTAGTGAAGTGCTCCTTTTGGGTGTTCCCACTCAGTTAATGGCCCGGGTGAGAGTGGATGAAACTCCTCTGAGCAGACAGGGATCAGTTTGTGTAGCGTTCTGCCTGTGGCGGATCCGTAACATCAAGCTCATTTTAGTCACTCTCTGGCAAAGAAACAAAAGCACAAGCCTTAGTTTCAGTTGAGAGAAGAATATCTACCGCTTCTGTTTCCACCGGGGTTTATATCCTTATAGGAGATTGACTGATTGCCATCAGCTGGGCTTGGTGATTGTTCCTCAGCTGGTTTGTGTGTTGCCAGGGTGACATATGATGAGCTGCTGGCAACTCATCACAATATATAGTATATAGTAGCCTCTCTCTGTGTGTGTGTGTGTGTGTGTGTCAACTAAATAGTATAACAAATAAAAAATTATTTCAACAACTTTCTAAACAGTGTGATTAAGAAAAAATAAATCAAAACTAAATCTCAAATAACACTTATATTTTCAATAATACATTACTGAAATTGTGTCAAAAGATTAAGGAACATATTGTATCTTGATTAATTCAAAAAAGTACTCAAAAGCTTATATTATAAGTATTTTAAGCAACCATGTATTCGTCCAAAACAACATTTCTGTATTGAACCGAATTGAAGTCATTGAGCTTCATCTGTATGACTTTTAAAAACTTTAACATTAATTTTGTATTATGAACCACAACACGTAAAAACTAGCTAGGTTTCATTACGCACCGCATGTATGTGTCTGACATAAAAGCGGCGCGTGCCTCAGCAGCGCGCGGACGCGCGTCATGCTCATCGGAGTATAAAAGAATGTGCGCGCGCTGCAGAGCGCTCAGAGGTGCGCGAGAGAGAGGGACTGATGAGACCGCGCTCTCGCTGCCGGTGAAGTAATTATGCATGCTGGCAGACAAAGTGCGGTGGTCACAATGAACTTGAGATAAATTAGTTTCTTCCTTTGCATCATTTCACCATGACAACGGACTGAGTGGAAGCCTGCCATGGAGAGGAATAACACCACACAAACTCTGGAGCTGGGAGAATGTGAGCACACACTGGACACCAGCTCGGCACTGGACAATTGTACGGATGCTGCCAGTGGGAACCTATCTTTACGTTGCTGGCTGCATTTGTTGACAAAGGAGTCTAGTTCAACATTACAAGGTGATGGGTCTAGTTTGGCTGTGCGTGTGATGATCGCCCTCATTTATTCAGTGGTGTGCGCTCTGGGGCTTGTAGGCAACTCTCTGGCGCTCTACCTGCTGCACTCACGCTACCGGCAGAAGCAGTCTTCTATCAACTGCTTTGTGATGGGTCTGGCTCTAACTGACCTGCAGTTCGTCCTAACCCTACCGTTCTGGGCCGTAGACACAGCGTTGGACTTCCGCTGGCCATTCGGCAAAGTTATGTGCAAAATCATCAGCTCGGTCACCACGATGAACATGTACGCCAGTGTATTTTTCCTGACCGCCATGAGCGTGGCCAGGTACTATTCCATTGTGTCCTCGCTGAAGATGCACAGTCGGCGAGCGGCGGCGGCTGCGGCCAAGTGGATCAGCTTGGGCATTTGGGTCGTATCCCTGATAGCAACCCTCCCACATGCAGTTTATTCCACGATAGCCCAAGTTGCGACAGACGAGGAGCTGTGCTTGGTCCGCTTCCCTGAAACGGGAAGCTGGGACCCGCAGTTGCTGCTAGGACTGTACCAGTTGCAAAAGGTCCTGCTTGGGTTTCTGATCCCACTGGTGGTGATCACCGTTTGCTATCTCTTACTTCTAAGAATCGTGCTAAGCCGTAGGATTAGCGGTGTGGCTGGCTCCGAAAGTGAGCAGGGGCGGCACAAGCGGCGCTCGAAGGTTACCAAATCGGTTGTGATCGTCGTCCTGTCGTTCTTTTTGTGTTGGTTGCCCAATCAGGCCCTTACTCTGTGGGGCGTCCTTATTAAGTTTGACCTGGTGCCCTTCAGCAAGGCCTTCTACAATGCCCAGGCATATGCTTTCCCGCTAACTGTGTGCTTGGCCCATACAAACAGTTGCCTCAACCCAGTGCTCTACTGCCTGATTCGCCGCGAATTCCGGGCCGGACTCAAAGAGATCCTGCTGAGGGCCACGCCGTCCTACCGAAGTCTTGCCCGGCTGCTCCCACGCAAGGCCAAAGTAGCTGAGGCCCCTCCTGTACTGGTTCTCGTGCAGATGGATGTTTGAAAAAGCAGATCCTTCACGTTCATCTTTGTTTTTGATTGACAGGACGAAGCAGGCGTGAGGAACGTCCTTTGGGAGCTGCCCCACTTTCCCTTCCACTCGTTCAGAAACACTTTTGCGCATTTGTCTTTCTCAACTTCCACGTACCCACGTACTGACTGCTTTCACATGCACCTCTGGTCATCAGAGCCACTGGGGAATTCAGGACCCATTCACCTTTGTTTGCCTATTAGTTGCACTGCTTAAGGATTTTCCCCCCGAGACATCCTTCAAGGGAGCGATAAATTATCCATGTGTGTTTTTCAGGCTTTGAAAAAAGAAGAAAAAAATGTTGAGATGTAGAGGAGTCTAGTCTTCTCTCATTTTATGAGATATAAAAAATAAATGTATGCAGGGGATCACTGGTTAAACCATCAATCATTCAACACACTGTCAATTATGATTTTACTTGCAGTTGTGTAGAATTTAATGAAGTTTCACACTTTGATTTGTCTTTCAATGTATTTAAATCTTATATTGTACAAAAAACTAAACTAATAAAATACCTAACTATGTAGTTAACTAACAAAATAATTCACAATTTTGTGAATTACCATGGACCAGTCAAACTGTGCATGTGATGATTGTGATCATTTCTGTTTTGATTTGAAAGAGAAATTATTTTTCTTAACTCTTTTCAATTTGACATAAAACTTTCTAAATAATTTAAATTAATATAAAACCGTATTTAATTAGAATTTATTCGAAATACACCACAATAGAATACCATTGTTGAGCCATTAAGGGATAATTCACTTAAAAAATTAAATTTTGTCAACTTTCCTCACCCTCATATCTTTTCAAATTAACTTCATTTCCAGAAAACACTAAATGAGATGTTTAGCAGAATGTTCAAGCTGCTCTCTTCTTCACCCTGTAAGCGGATGGAGACCAGGGTTAAAAAAGGGAAAAAGCAACAAAAGCATTATAAAATTTGTCCATAGGACTCAAACACTATTTTCAAAGTCTTTTTATCTAATATGAAAACTTATGTGAGGAACGGCCTGAAATTTAAGTCAGTACACATTTAAAATCTCACCTGAGATTAGTAGTCACCATTCACTTTCATTGTTTGAAAAACAGCAGCTTGGACATTCTGCTATAAACCTCTCATTTTGTGTTCCTCTGATGAAAAAAAAAGTCAAAAAGGTTTTGAAAGGTGAGACATGAGGTGGAGTAAATAATAACAGAAAGTGCTAGCTGAAAGCTTTCTTATGCTGACTATATCCTCAGGGACTTAATCAAAAAAAAAAAAAAATACAGCTTAGGCATACAATATCTTGATAAAAATATACTGTACAATAAATCTACTCTAAATCCCAATTCCTAAACCATCAAACAGAACAAAAATTCAATCTGAGATAATTAGTTATATGGGTTTATTGACAACACAATATAAGGCAGAGTTAAAGAGTGTTAGCTCAATAATAACAATTTATTTATTTATATTTATATTTGTCAGTTATTCTTTCATCCTAAATATATTCTTGCATCATTTCACAGTCAATATACCTTACAATGCTGTTGTAGGCTTTGAGGCTTTAGTGATTTTGTACCACCTAATA